CTTGTTGAACTCCATGAGTTCTGAGACCTGTGATCTGGAGTCCACACAACGATTCACTTTGTCCAAAATACCAACGAGATGACGTGTCAAGAGCTTATGTTGATAGGATTAAAAAAATCTGTGAAGACTGAGGCTTGTCACATCTGTGACGCTGATAACAAGCAGGGAAACACGCCACCTTGCCCGTGCAAGATCTGTATCTGAAACCAAGATCCTCGGTGCGTCGCACTACCCCAACATGCACAGCATGTCCAGGAGGGACTGCGGTGCCTGGGTCTAGAGTGAATCCGTGTGCCAGCAGAGACTTGGACATCAAGTCTAAATGATTCAATACACCCTCTTTGTCCTAATCTCAGCTGTGTTCCTCAGTTCCTGCACTATGGCCACTTTCATTTAGAAATGTGTTTTGTTTTTGTTTGCTCCTAGGAGCTGGATTTCCCCTCTCTCATTCTCTGTTTTCTAAGCACACTTAAAATGCTTTCCAAGGGTACATTTTGTTCTCTAAGAGAAATGTCATTTTGCTTTTATTGAGCCAGTTCTCCAGTTTATTTCTTGTATTACAGAAAACATCACTGGCTTTAAGGATCCCGAAGATGTGTGCTTGCTGCTAGCCAGAAAGAGTTAGAAAGACAATTAAGGTGGAGAACAAAATCATCCACGCCGAGGAGTAAACAAATTACACAAAGAACTTTGCCTGCCCTCCCTTGGTGCTGTGTAATCCCAGAAAAGGCTTCCTCCAGCATCAGACAGACCCCTCCTGCCCACACTTCCTCCCACCGATGCTTCCAAATGAAAGGCTGTCACTCATCCCTCCACATTCCCGTTTCTTCCCTGATCTATCCCACGGGGTTATGTGATCCTCTGACTGCTGCTGGGCCGAGGCACGAGCTCCCAGTGCCTGCTGCGACCGGCAGTCTGCTCTGCCTGCAGGTGCTTCCAGCAACCAGGTCCCGCAGCGGCGTTTCGTGTACACGGCAAACGAGGCACAGGAACGAGCACCGTCACAGGCAAGACCGGAACACAAAGCTGCCATCTTTAGCCACGCTTACAGCCAGCTCTTCTCCTCAGCAGAGAATTGCAGCTTGTCCTACAGAATCAGCCCCGACCTGTCCTGGGGAAGAAAGCTGCAACTGGGCCTCTGCCTGCTCCTCAAGATGCCTGACGTTCCCAGCTGGCCCACCCCACGCCGTTCGTCAGGGAAATACAGCTCCCCACGCCGGCTGCAGCAGGGGGAACAGGGCCAGCTTTCGAAGAGCTCCCCAGCTTCCAGCTCCCATCCCAGCCCTTCACGGCAGCAGTGAGGTTTGGAAGGGAGTTCCGGGGGCTTGGATGGGTGCGCTGCAGCCATCGGCCTCGCCCGTGGGGCCCCCCCTGCCGCAGCTCGCCCGGCGGCTGCCCGCTGGCACTGGCGGCTGGCATGGCCACGGAGATTCCTCAGGGCAAAAGCACCAGGGACAAGCCACCAGCGGAGAGGCACAGCGTTAAGGAAGGGGGTAGGGGAGGGAGGAGGGCATGACCGGTGACAATCCGGGGAACAAACCTCCTGACAGCGCACACCCCTCTCTCACCGGGTGAAGGCCTACAGAAGATCAGGAAGCTGGGAGGCACAGAGCCTAGGATTTTGAGGGGAAAACTCAAAGAGGCAGAAAAATTGACCTGGCAGTCTGGGGAGGACAGACTCCGAGGGAGATCTGAACAGCCATCCAGCTTGAGCCGACAAAACGCAACTTTAAGAGAGAGGCAGGACAACCCGTCGCGGAGTCCTGCACAGACGTGTTTCTTCAGGGACAGAAGCCCAGCTGGAGCGTGCTGCAGCTGATTTCTCTGGCACAGGGAAGATGTAAATGCCAGATACTGATTTTCTTATAAAACAGGCAGGCAGGCAGGCAACAAGGTTATGAGACAGATCAGGTCTAATCTCAGGTCTCACATGCAATTCCCCTGAAGTCAAAAACGTTAACCGCAATATCTCCCTGTAAGCCCATGGCCAAATCCACAGTTTTTGCTCCCGTGCAGCAGCAGCTGCACGACAGGCAAGACTCTGCTAAGAACCATCATATTGAGACAGCTGGTAATTGCTTAGTTCATCAACTTCTTTAAAGTAAGTATCTGTTGCAGCTTGACATACACGATCTAAGACGGCTGGGTAGCTAGCTTCGCACAGCACACGACAAGAATTTGTGGAGCTAGGAGAGCGCGAAGTCTGGCTCATTAACTTCTCTCCCATGCACAAGCTTCCCCAAACCACCAAAGCCTGCTGACCTCAACAAATGACCTTGTGAACGCAATGCTGGCTTACGCAGAGGAGCTGCCTGACGTTCACAGCAGGAGATGGTTATGAGAGCAGCGCTACTAACTAGTGACTTCTGTTCCCTTCTCTGTCGCGCGAAAATTCACTGCAGTGATTAAGAAACCAGTTCAGTCTGTAATACATCTCCATGACGTGATTCAGACAGACAACTGATGAAGTCTCCCCCACCTATACCCAACACACAGCTTTGCTCGGGTTTTCATGATCACTGGGATGATTTCCAACTCAGAGTCTCAGTTATGCTGCAGGGTAGAATAAATGCACTTATGCTAGAGGTGACAGCAGGTCCATTTAAAGCAGCATACGACTGGACATCTTCTACAATCGGGAGCGCCATCCAAGCGGAGACCTCTCCCAGCTAGTCCTAACTTTTTAAAAGTTCAAATGTACAAAACATAATGTTTGGAAAGTTTATATTCTCTGTGACACTCCCACCCCCGTGATGCTGAGAAAATAAAATCAATTCATATTGCTATGAAATTCCATTTTTGCAACTGGTGACCTCCCAAGCGCTGTCGATTATGAAGACTAGAAAATCCTCACCCTGGTTCACATTTCCAGCACAGAGGCTCACAGCCCAGTCAAGTAACACAGCAATAATCTCTCTTCCACTGAGAATACTTTTATTCACAAGGCAAAAATTGGAGTTAGACTTTTAGGTTGTGGGCAAGGCACTCGCAAAGTGAGCAAATCTATTTTTGCTCACAGAACTAATTTAATGTTTAAGTGCAACAGAAACACTAAATTAGCCATGAAGATCATGCATATCCAACGGCTTTCACCAGACATGACTGTGACCCAGGCCTCTAAATACAGAAAAGTTTAAGTCCTAAGGAATCAGCTCCCTTACTTTCTGCTTCACCAGATGATGTTTCCTTTTGACCAGTCATAGAAATATCATTTCCATTATAATAATTAAACATGTATTAAAATACTATGTATTTAAGAGTTAATATATGGTTTCTTTCAGTAATAAAATATGGAATACTCTTTTTCTTTTCGGACGATATTTAAACCCCAAAACTTAAAGGAGAAACATTCATGCTGAAAACAGATCAATGTACAGCACTAGGTCAGAAATAACATCTCTTGGTTAAAACCCCAGGATCTTGTTGTGAAACTGTACATTGATTAACAATTCACTTCTTTTACCCACGTATTTCATGTTCAACATCTGGCAGTGAGTGAAATACAAACCCGGATGATCCGATACTGAAGCACAACCAAGGGCCTCAGCGTATCTGTACGGCCCATCCTTCCGACAGACGCAGGATTCTTGTCCTTCAGAGACAGATTGCTCTGTGTCTGGGAGCAGCACCATTTCGTACACATGCAGGGCACAGCAGTGTCAGTCACATTGCAGTCCTGGGTGTCTCATGCCTGGTACTTCATGCAGTGTCCTCTTTGCAAGTCTCCATGTTTCTCTTAGTGAGGCATATGCACACATTTCCAAACAAATAAGCTGCATTTTCAAAAAGATATTAAATATGAGATAGAAGACTATGGTATTGTTAAAAGAAATGGCTAATACAGTCAAAAGAAAAATTTCAGTTACAAGTAAGATGCTCTGACTACAGATGTAAACATAATGTATTAAATCTTAACTGTTCATATGAACATCTGGGCTATTTATTTTGTTGTCGGTATCTATTTATACACAAACAGAAAAGCAAGCACACAGATGAAAAGATGAAGACTCTGAGCTTGAGCTCTATACTGTTATGGACTGCCCATGTCCACGGCAGCATACCTTTTGACAGCGATGGACAGGATACATACCTGCAGTCATCCCCTCCAGCACTGACCACGTATCTATCTCCACTTGTAAATCGAATATTTGTTAAGTGGGCAGAGTGACCTAGAAATCGTTTGTGTTTTGCCTGGGGGAAACAAAAAACCCAAGAATAAAATGAGAGAGTCTAAATACTCCATGTGTTCCTAAATCAACTAAGGCATGCGCGTTTTTATCTACCTTTTAATTGCATCATGTGTTTCTATCATTCAGAATGCTGTATGTCACGTTTCAAACACGACAGATCTCCCGAAGGAGAGCTACTACTGAGCCGCAACGCAGGTTAGATTGCCACCAAAGGAGACAGCACGTGCAAATTGGGAACAACGCTCAAGTTAACACAATTAAATGAAATTTGTCTTGTCACAGAGTAACCTCTAAATTTTGTGTAGAATTCCTAACACTGAAAAAATTATTTTCATTGCAAGTGTGTAAGCAGTTTACACTGTACAGTCTCAAATCCTGAAAATTGACAGAGCTAGTGTTAGCAAAAGGTCTGTAAACTCTTCATCTGTGGAAATACACAGATGGGACTAAAATTGCCAGCTGTCTTCCTCATCTGTCCAATGGAGATTGGAGGTGTGGCTAAATAAACTGAGGACCTGGAGGTTTTTCAGTATGAAGGCACCAGGTTACGCAGACTGGCAGACAACACTAACACCTACAAGAGCTTACAGCAAGAGCCACTGCACAAAACGTTAGGAAAACTTGGAGGTGAAGCACGCCTGTGAGGCTACAGGGCTAATGTTACACAGGTGCATTAAAAGCTACACATTTAAACAAGGAAATATCTCCACCATACATCTTCTACTGAAACAAGACCATAATATCAACAGTACTTGTTGTAACAATGGAAAACCAAGTTCTTACAAATTTTTCAGGACATGGAAAGTCAAACAGTTTGACCATGCCAAAATCATCGCCTGTTACGAGGTTGATTCCCGAGTGAGAGACACAGGCACAGTTTACATCCGCTTTTTCAGCATGCCTGGACCAGATTCCAATTACTTCATCCCCTAGAACACTGAAACAGAAGAGCAAGAAATTCCTTTGAAAACTATAGCAACAACAAGAGAGGTAGGAAATAGTAAGCAGCTCTCATACTGTGACTGGTTTTATAAAATAAAACATTTTATTCTTACACATACACATCTCACATAGGTTTTACATTGTAATGAATTATGTATCATTCTATAACTGCTTCTGAAACAGATTCAGTGCTATGATTCCCAAAATAACATGGCCCATGACAACAGTAAGCAGCAGAGGTGAAATCAATATTACTAAGATTGTCCAGTGAGGTATTTGCAAAAAAGAAAAGAATAAAGAAAAGACAATTAAAAATAGAATGTCACAGCATAAGCATTAGATGAATATGTTTCAGCTTCTGGAAAATAAAAACAAGTATCTTCTCATTATGTTTTGTTGATTCTGTACCATTTTCATATCAATTACATGAAAAGTTTCCTTGAGTCCGGTGAAGATTCTTCATTATAATGAGAGAGAGAGAGACAGAGAGAGATTGTCCTAAACTGAAAACACAATCACCTTAAGATTCCAAAACTGACATGTATAAAACATTTCCTTTGAAAAGCCTTGCGATAAGTTGCTTTTTATCCAGCTCTGCTTATGAGGTACACGTGTACTTCCGTACTGCACAGAACCACACACTTTGTCATTTGTTGATAGGGAATGATTTGGGAATTCTTCTGTGATCCTTTCCCCCCAAGTCAGGGCACAATACACTACACTCAAAAAGGAATGATTTACCTCAGGTGTACTGAACTGCTTCAGAAAACACAGGTTTCTTGTTTTCCTATCAAAGAGGTGATAAAAAGGGATCACCCAAACAGAAACCAGAAGGCCTGCAAAATGAGCTCCACAGAGCCCTCTGAAAAGCTTGTAGTTTTAGTCATGTCTTGCAGCAAAGAGTCTGGATTATCATTGTATACAGTGGTTCATATGTGGAAAATTTTCAAGTGTTTATTCGCAAATTTTGTCTGAGGGCGCTAATCAGAGACCAATACTTGAAAGCCAGCAAAGAAGCCTGAAATAAGGCACAGGAAATCAGACTTACATAGAATAAAAAAGAAAATAAATTATTTAGATGTTAAATAAAATAGGGTGTAATTCTTCATGTAATTTCAAAGTTTATTTTGAACGAAATATAACAACTTTAATGTATTTAAAAGTAATTTTGTATACCTCTTAATATGCAAATGTTAATAAAACTTTACTATATAGATACCATTAGGGTAATGCTGTAAATAAAACTTGAATTATCGCTGTATTGCCTTTTCATGTTTTGACATGTTTTAATTTTCCCTGTATTCTTATCATCAAATTGCTATTTTGAAGGAAATAAAATCATAGAATGGTTTGGGTTGGAAGTGACCTGTTCCAGTGCCTCACCACCCTCTCCGGGAAGAACTTCTTCCTGATACCTAATCTAAACCTCCCCAGTTTCAATTTAAACCCGTTACCCCTTGTCCTGTCACTACAGGCCCTTATAAAAAGTCCCCCCCAGCTTCCTTGTAGCCCCTTCAGGTACTGGAAGGTGCTGTAAGGTCTCCCCAGAGTCTTCTCTTCTCCAGGCTGAACAAGCCCAACTCTCTCAGCCTTTCATCACAGCAGAGATGCTCCAGCCCTCTGAGCATCTTTGTGGCCTCCTCTGGACTCGCTCCAACCGGTCTATATCCTTCTGATGTTGAGGGTAGTAAATAAAGAGCGCAGTATTCCATGTAATTTGCACTGCGCCACGAAAAACGACTGAGGCTGCTAGGGGTATATCAAAGGAAGCTGAAGACACGCAGCGAACAGAAGGGCACTCAGAGAGCAGTTGTTATCGGCTGTCCTCACCGGTCAAACAGCTGATGTTCTACTGGGGGTATCTGCTGTGCTGTACTTACCTGCTCTGCTGCCAGACAGATGGGTGTGTTAAACACCCGACTGGATGAAATACACCTTTAAACAGTAGGTGCATCTCCTAGAAGTTTACAAGTGTTTTAACAGATGTAATGCTGTGTAAAACAGGTGAATCATTTACCTTGTCCAAGTAGCCCATGTTATTCTGTCAATCACAGCCTGGTCCACAAGCTGTTTTCCTGAAGGCACTTCATAGACTTGCCTTTTGTAAGACCCAGTAGAGACCTTTGAGATGACCACAGAGAATTTAGAATACATGAACTTGGTTTGAAAAACTGAAAATATAACTCTAAAGGGCTTTGGAAAAGCATTTTCTTGATCGTTATCTTTTCATAGCTGTTACTTACACAGTAATAAAACTTGCTCAACGAGCTGAAAAATCTCAAAGATCTACAGAATCATAAAGCAACAGTGAGAGAGCGTAAGCAGTCTTAAAATTTAAAATGTCTAATTAATTAGCATTTCAAATTAAACTGAAACCTCTCACATTCTGCACATATTAATTCTCTCTACATATTGTGTGTGTTAGTATGTACATGTGTAGAAATAAAAAAGGCAAAACAAACTCCTATCTTTGAAATGGACACAAAGGCATCCCTCTCAGCCTGTAGATGTTGATTTGATAGTGAGAGAAGCTTATTCCTCCTCTCACATGTGACCACAGTCTAGAAAGCAAAGTATGCCTGCTTTATTTTGATTTTAAGAGATGCCTCGAGCCCTGTGCTGGGGAGCTGCAACACCACGAATTTGGTGCTGCTCCATGAAGGCCAGCCGTGATGCCATGTGTCATGCTGCCATTCCTGGTCAGGGCTACGACTTCACACGTCCCTGGGGATTACAGGACGACAGACTGCCCTCCTCCTGCTTTTACGCTACTCTATCAGCATCACAGGGGTAAAAAGGCAGGGACACACATTACAGTGATTTTGAAACTTGTTTCTCCTTTCTATGCTTATTCCTTGTACTTAATATCCACGATAACTGTTCTCATCATCCACTTACCACTACAACAGAGTAACGGTCTACTCCCAGTAACCTACTACTCCAAAAGTACAAAATTTAGCAGCTGTCAATGGAGAAGACTACCTGTCATGAGGATGTTTTCCATTCAGTGTCCTGAACAATTGATGACAAATACCTGGAGATAGGAGCTATCTGCAGAGAAGTCCATCTGGATCACAAAACTTGGGATATCTTTGCAATAGCTGACTCGATTTAGCATGGGACCCAAAGTCAGATCATAAAAATCCACTGCGTTCTCACTGGAACCGACTGCTAAGTACCGAGAATCCGGGCTAAACCTGAACGCATAGAAGGGTTTTAATGAAGACAGGTTGGCACTTACAACAGATTTGAACGTTTGAGAAGCACAGGTAAATCTGCATTTCAAGCACCTGCCAGGCACAACTAAAGAGGCAGAGGACTTCATCTGCTAAGCAAAATAACTCTTGAAACAAAATTTTCAGGGAATGTATATGCAGTAGAAGGTGAAAATCATGTGTGACAGTTGTGCCAAAATAAGTGAACTGGGATCACGTCTGGGGTAACTGTTCAATATCTGATCATGGTACCACCTCATGACGTGCCCCGATGACTCTCTAATGCTGTACTTACAGGGCTACTAACCAGAAAAAGGAAATGCGGGAAATGAAGAAAAGCCAGACCATCTAGATTAAATGAACTGAATAAAAAAACATGAAATCAAACTTTCCAGCTACCCAACATGTCTTTCTTTGCTCCGTGCTTTCTTTGCTCCTAGAGCTTTCTGCTCTTGAAACTCAGTAGCTTTCTGGGCTGAACAAATTCCTCACAGCCCCTTTTGTCTTACTAGGCAAGTTTATTTCTGTTATCTCCAAGACATACCTTGAGACAGCTTTCTGATTCCAGCAACCCCCTAACTCCCAGTAGGGCTCTCCTGCCTTCCTGCAGCAAGGTCCCTGTCTGCTCATCTTTCTCCCTCTCATCCCACTTTGCTCTCCAGAAGCTTCCCTGAGCTGGTCATGGTCAATTTATATCACGGAAGGAACAGTCTTGTCCTCCACTCAGGAAACAGAACCAAAATTTTACTTCTGCTAACTCCTTTCTAACACTCCCCCTATGGTACTGCCTTTTTTTTTTTTGACTGACTGCTATCTCTTATCTTCATGTACCTCCTCCTTCCTTTTTATTCCTAGTATCAGAGTAAACACAATTCACTCACTCATTCCAGCTTTCTGAAATATCACTGCTGTGCTCCTCAGAACATAAAATTCTGTTTTAAAAATCAAAATAATACAGATTTCTAGAACGCTACAATAGATAAAGGCATTATATTTTCTGACCTGATATCTTGAATCGCTGATCTTCTGTCCCTTTTTTTCCCCCAAATTTTTAGAGAGGTCACAAGCAAGATAATAAATTCTCCATTTTTCATGCCAATAGCTACCATATCACCTTCTGGGCTGTAACAAACAGTACGAGCTGCATGTCCTAAGCTGACTTTGTTCAGCATCTTCTGTGAAGAAATAAAACCCCGGAAGAGTAAATGTTTCTATTTGTTCACATTTCCAAAGTACCTTATGCTAACAGTTTGCTGTTCTCAGATGGAACATTCTCAGAATACATTAAAAACCAAGTTTCAAGGCCTCAACACTACCACAGGTCTAGGATTTTTTTTTCCCTAAACAACATCTAGCCTCCAACACCTACCTTTTCAGTGATATCCCATAGTCTTACTGTGCCATCTTCTGCAGCAGACAGGAAAAAGTCTCTGGAAGGATGAGTTGCTAGGCCCCAGATTGGTCCATCCATATGACCATTAATTAGAATGTTACATGCAGCATTTTTCTCTCCAACTTCGATTATTTCAGCATTTCTTGTCCCAACGAGAATTTTCCCCTTGAACAACAGTGAAAAAATTCTCTCTGATAATACATTAAGCACTGGTGATGAACAGTAGTAAAGATAGAATTCAAAGCTATAATTCTGTCAAGAAGGTTTGCTGAAATCATGTAATCAAAGATACTTTATTTTTTAAATTCCTCTATGATTTATTAAAGCACAAAGCTGTATATAAATCACAATGCCAGCTGAGTTACTGCCTGGCAGATACTTGATGTGTGAAAATAGGATAATATTTTGTATATATTTTATTAAAGACTAAGACTTCTAAGTAAGACCAAGATTCTTCAAACTAGATCTTTTCTCTGCTGTAAAATCAGTTACAGACACCTTGTAGCTCAACCTTTCATTTGAAATACTAACTGCAAGAGAAAGAAGCAGCAATTTATCGTATATTTAATGCTAAACACAAATTGTAAGCTTTATTTTAAAACATGATGCTTTCTTCACCTTGCCTCTACAAACAGAGCGCACACAGTCCGTCATTTGTCCTGTCTCTAGTCTGAAGGCACGACATCGTTTCAGCTCTTGATCCCATAGCTTAACTGCTCCTCCTTCCTTTGAACTACGAAGAAATTGGGAACAATCATCAGGATAATGGCTGTCACAAAAGAGACAACTAAGATATGAAAGAACTGTACTATTTAATGTCATGCATGGGTTGTAAACAAGGCATTTTACGTATTTCACTACTGTGAAATAAATGACAAAATATTTTCACTTTTGCACAAATCTCACTGTTTTCACTGCTGTGAAATAAGTAACAAAGATACAGGAGAAAAATCAGACAACGTTAATGGCACAAGATACCCAATAGTAAGTAATCATGAAGGCACCAAATATTTCCCACCCACTGTAAAGAGAATGGGTGTTTCAGTAAAAACCACATTAAAATAAAAAAAGTTTCTAAAAATGAGATAATGTTTAATGAAACAGTTATAAATCTGGCATTTCCAGATGAGCTAGGACATAAGTCTGATGTGCCTTCAAGGAGAAAAGAATGTTCCCCAGCAGAAAATGCAATGTTTCACAATACTGAGCTGCCAGTGTTATAACTTTAATTACTGAATGAACCCCAACAAAGAACTCCACAAGGTTTCATCACAATTCTGGATTTTGTACTATGATTACTAAAAGAACTGTAATTGCTAGTCCTTGCAATGGAATATTCTTTGCTTTCCAGCAGTACTGGTTTGATGTACAAATGGTCATCATACTCAGCATACTTATCAAAAGAGGCTGGAGAACTGCAATTACAAACACCAAGGCACAGGCAAACACGCAATTTCCTAAATGTAGCATTTGTTCTGTATACTTTCAATATTCCACTTCCCCATAGGAGACAAATGATTGTTTCTTACTGCTACTCATTAGTTTCTTTCAGGTCAAATAGTAATTACTAAGAGCCTTTGAAGCTAAGTGGTAGAGAGAACATTCTCCAAATAAAATCATGGTTATGTCTTATAAAAAATAGAAGAAAATATTTCAAACACAGGAATAAATAAGTTTTCAGCTGGGTCTGAACATCAACCAGGATCTCCAAGGACTATTTAAGGAAAAGGTAGTAAGTGGCCTCTGTCCTTTAAAATGGGGCACTATCATGCCAGTGGATGGACTGTATTGCAGCTGAAGCATTCTTTTTTCTTCTACCATTAGCAAGGCACTAAGAAAAAATTAGAATGCTTGACGAGATATTTTGCTTACAGCCCCAGAAACAAAGGATCTTGCTGTACCTTAGATTCAAGAGAAGACAGTTTGCCTCTGCCATCATAACTAAACAGATCCTTCCTTTAAAAGAAGCTGTCCATTATGCTGTTATAATATTTATCATTCATTTATTTAATCATGGTTGTGCAAATTACTTGGATTAACAACCTCAGTTCAACTTCAGAAAATTAATTAACCCACCAAGGACTGGGGAACTTTTTCATGCTTAAAGCTGTATTTCAAACTAAATGTATTTGCCTTCTCTCAAAAAGAATACTGTTGTGATAAATACCATTGAACCATTTAGTAAAATAATGAGGTGATTTCAAGGCTACTTTTGATTATAATAGTTGAGCCCTTTTCAGCTTACAAAGGGAGAACTGTATCATCTGTTTGATAATTAGTGTATTTGTACTTGGAGAAACATTACCTGACTGATAGAATGTAGTATAATTGGTAATGCAATATAATTGATAGTCCATTCATATAATTTATTCTACACTCACCTATTGTTTTTAACCAAAATAATGCAAAGTCATCATAAAATGCCTGAATAGGCTTGCACGTCTGCTTTAAAAAGATGACTTATCTAAAAGTTAAAATTATGAACTACTTGCATAGCATTTAGATTCTGATTCACCCCCCTTGAGGTTAGGGACTTAAGCAAGGAACCCAGGTCAGGATCCTAGCCACTCTAGCCTTTCTCTTATAATCAGTGGAAAAAACCAGGTACTTGAGTTTCATGTGGGCTTCCCTGCGCTTTGGAGGTGGAGGCTAACTTTTTTCCTACCACTTGTTCAGGGATCCGAACGTAACTACTCTTCTAGCTTTGTCATCTCAAACTGCCTAGTGTTAGCTGGGATGAATCCAAACAATTTTAGAAAAATACATGTGCATGCAGAAAAAAGAAAAGAAGACGACTCACGGCCTTTCTTTGCCTCCTGTAACGATCAAACCATCTCTTAATGTGGTATACATTGTGAAAACAGGTCCATTGTGAGCTTTGGCCACAATTCGTATCAACACATGATCTTTCCAAACACAAACATCTCCACTGATAGTACCTGTAAACGTCAAGTTATTCTGAAAAGGGGAAAAATACACTCACCATCTGATTCTGAGTAAGGCAGGAAGAAAAACATTCAGAAATACAGATTGTCACCATTTGCTTTTAGGCTAGATTACTCTTAGCTGCTGCTGTAGAAGAGCAAATTGAAGGGGTAATAAGAACCAGTAGGGAGAAAACAATGAGCTACTATATTTCTTCTTGAATTCTGAAGCGTGTTTTCTTGTAGCTAATAGGTTCTGCCCTGCAAGAAGAAATGCAGTGACTTAAGCTTCAGCCATAGGGTTATCTATGTTTTCAGCCTGTCAGGTGTGCAAACTGGGGTTCTACAAAGTAGAAAACCAAGAACCATTTGAACATTTCACACTAACAGGCAGTTTGCACCCCTTTGCCCTGTACATTATGCCTGCACTCATTTTTGTTGTTAGGCGAAGGCAGTCCCTGCATTCCAGTAACCACTACTTTATGAAGAGAATGCTCTGACTTGGAACCAAAAGCTGCCTGTTCTTGACTTCTGCTTCCTGGTTATGAAAGGTAATAAAGAATTAAATTTAATTACCTCTACATTCAAGGGCAATTTATTAGGATACACTTAAAACCAACAGGAACTGGTTATTGAGTAAAACTGGTTTAGTAACTTACATGAACAATCCTCAAATGCAGTATCCTGCGCAGTATTTTAGAGTACCAGTACACGTGTAAACATCTGGCAAGAACACTTTCCTTGATTGAAATGGGTTGAAGTTCTACCTGTACTTAAGGGGTATGTGTGAAGGTGGCCTAATAAATTAGTGAATAAGAGAGGACCAGAACTGAACTGGGGAGCAGATCTGATTGTCCTCCTGACAGCATAACTGTTGGCCTGTTTCCAACCCCTCTTTAGGAACTAGCTCTTTCTGAGACAAAACCAAGGCAGAAAAGCACTCCCAAAACTGCTCCCTGTAGCAAGTATGGGGAACACACCAGATCCGGCTTTATTCGGTTTGCACAGCTTTTCACAAAAACCCCTGCGAGCTTTGCATCCTCAACCAACCTCATACCATACTCCAAGGATATTCAGCCTGATTTTTATGCTAATAATCTCTCCCTCCCTAAGAAAGTTCACAGATGTTTTCCAAACCCCAGACTAATGCCTGGGCAGTGCATCTCTTTACAGGTAGCACTTGGAAAATACTTACTGCTTTGCAGTACTCTCTCTTAAACCAGAGGTACCTGAGAGAGATAACACGCTCTGGAAAAGCGTCTCATGAAAAATGAAACCACAAGCCAGTTACAGTTTTGAAAATCAAAATCAATAGTATAAGTTCAGTCTGGACCCAACAGGCAGATCAGCAAGCAGGGCAGTAATGCACACAACAAAAGAGAAGCAACGCTTCCCAAAAGAAATCCATGACTATCTGCCCAGCTGGAGAGATAAGCACTGCTCATACAGAGCAACTCCTGAAATGGCAAAGACGTAGAATTTAGCAACAAGGTCCACATCTGCCAAAAAAGTCCCACAGCAAAACAAAACCCTACTGTGGTCATCTAACAGTCAGATGTTAACGAATGCCCCTGGACAACCCTGATCACCCACGAGGAGTGATGCGTATAGAGTATAATACAATCATGCCCCAGCAGGCATAAATTTAGCTTCACTTCTACTGTATAGGTCCTGCAGCCTAGAGTCAGCTTTGCTTCACCTGGATTAAATACCAATCAATGTATTATCAGTCCAAAGCACCTTTGCTTGTTTCTTCTCAAAACATACGAATCCATAATCTTTTTTTTCCTTCTCTGTTCTACAGAAAGCTGGTGTGAGTTCTAAAGAGCAGGCAAGTACTAGAAAAGCTAAACTCATTACCAGGTTAGAAAAGTCTCACTGACCTGAATAAAGGCAGAAGAGTAAAAAAATGTTTGTGTGCATGCAGTTTAATAGAGTTTGTTACAGTACGTACCGCTCCAAAAGCTACAGACAGCATTGTTTGCATTCGGGCATCTTCTATGGAGCTCAGCAGCCCTTTTTTACTGAGAAGAGCTCTTCCCGCCAGTGTCCAGAACCTCACGTGCTTTACTCCCACAGAAACAAACTGGGTATCTGAATCTGGTCTGAACTCTGCTACAAATATACGTTGGTTATGACCAGCTCGGCTGGCAATTTTGGCACCTGGCAGAGAGAAAACGGACACTTAATTCACTGAGAATAAAAATTTAAAAAATGAGAAAAATTCATGGTTAAAAAACAAGACTAAAAGTTATGGAGAATGATGCGTCATCCAAGACCACACAGGCCGTGAAGAAAAGCACAAACTGCTCCTAAAATAAGACTAAATAAAAATGCAAACAGAAAAGAAATTATTTAATAAGACCCAGTAGCAAAGTGTAGCACCTAATGAAGGTGCCATCTCTTCACAACTTTCAGTTTCCTAAGCAATACTTGGAACCAAGTAAGTTATCATCTCCTCTTAAATTCCTACGACTCCTCTGAAAATCCCAAACTCTCGGCACATTACAAGAGACTAACGAATGACTTCTCTGCAAATTTTGGCCAAAGTCTGTCTTTTAGCAGAAAAGACAGAAACTGACTTTGTTAGATGGTCTTAGACTCAAAGGTAACGCTTTTCCAGTCTCTTCAGAGGTGTTAAAATCAGATATTTGGACCCGATGAAGAAGATTCCTCCATCTGGATCCTCAGCTGCTGTGTTGAATCTGTATTAACCTTTAAGAATGAGCGCAGGCACGTTCTGCCTGGAACAGCAGTGAATTGCTGCATGGGCTTTTACCACACAGCCTTCATTCTAGCTCAGACTGCATAAATACACATTCGACACGGCGTCCAGCTCCACAAGGTCTAGCAGACTAGCTAGGAAGGATCACTTCCTATTAACCGGATAGCTGATCTTCAAACTTCTGAGAGATACTAGCTGATCAACAGAAAGCTCCAAAGAGAGAGGAAATAAACCACGAAGACTAGAGAATCAGTTTCGTACTCTGCGCATGGCTTTGCCAGACAGAAAGGAGATGAGGAAAGGACCTGACCAAATCGCTTTAGTCTAAATCCTGAACTCAGATCAAAGCCAGTCTGGAAAACCAGTAGAGCTTAAGACACCAATTACACAGCTGCATAGAGAACCTGTACTGGCATCACATTTCTTCAATTTGCAATTTTTGGGGGATAATTTTAGGAGTACAGCAACCTAAGTCAGTAATCAACCTTTAGAGAAAAACAGAAAATTCCTTCTGGGAGAAAAAAGGATTTTTAAAAGTGTTTTTACCAAACACCAAAGAAATGACTGAAATAGAAAGAATGAAGATTGCCATTTTCTCTAACTATTCTAACTGGAAATCAACGAACCATCTTGATCTTTACACAACAGTTCCAAAGGAGATACATTTAGAAGTTATTGGAATAGGTAAGCACATTTATTTTACCTCTTCTTGTATAGCACAGAGTGCGCAGCATTTATTATAATGATTCTTGATCTGCTGATATTTTTATGTTCCAATTGCTCTTGACTCAAGCCAACGTACCTCTAACAATGTAAACACATTCTGCAAAAACAACAGCTTTCCTACCTTCCTGCCACTTCCAAATGGTAATGGTGTGTTCAGGGTCCAGCCCTACAGAGAGCAGCAGCTTGCCAGTGGCACTGAAACTGACGGAGCAAACGCCCTTTGAATGGTAGCACCGCAGAACCGACAGCGTCTGTTTGTTCATTGCATCCCACACATGAATAGAAGGAGCTGTAGCTACACAAATACAAAAACACGTCATTAGTATACGTTTTGAAAACGTCAAACGATTTGCTTATTGAAGCAGTTAGTATTTTTTAGTAAGACAAAGTTGTTCTAGTCAGACAGAAAAAAGGAAGAAAGAAAAGAATGGAGATTTTGGCCTCCCCTTGGAAACAAATTACGGCCAACAGGATCATTAAGTGGGACTACGAAGTTGGCCTCATCACCCTACTGGTGACGAAAACTTTGCTTGACCTGTTACTGGACTCCTGAAGCACAGCAGAAGCTCTGAAAGCAAGCTCTCTTCTGGGTTTCTCCTAGTAAAACTTAGCTTAGCATACTAGGTAGCTTAAAAACCTTCATAAATATTGAGCCGATCATCAAGAATGTGATTTCTACATGGGGCTTTTGAACAACGGATAGCTACAGAGAAATTAGTTTACGGTGCAAGGCCAAAATCTCCTTTTCTACAGAATGGCCACGTGTCTGAAATGCATGCTCTCTTAAGAGAACGTCAGCTGACTGATCAGCTTGCTTACTGATGTAGAAGAACCAGGGCATTTAATTTAGCTCGCGCTGTTCAGACTGCAAGGTCTTTGCAGGAAAAACCGTCTTTCCACGCTACCAATGTATGTGATTATTCCTATTATGACGACAGTTAGCTTTTTTCCAAATGCAATGCCTTCTCCAAAGATCCTGCAATCCATGTATAGTTTGCACAGCATCTAGGACATTTGAGATTCTCTTTTAAACCTCTTTACCTCCGATCCCTAGTACATCTGACTGCAGCCCCTGAAGGTTACTGGTTATTGTCATAGACCCAGATTCACATACTCTAAACTCTATTCCAGCTCCATGCTTTGTGTTTCTATTCAGCTAAACCTAGTCCATCAAAGGCACACATATGATGGGAAACAGTAGGCACAGGGACCCAGGTGAAATTTTAGCCACATGAAACTGTTTTTGAGCACAATTCCATAGCTGTTCCAAAACAGCCTTTGTAACAATCTTCATAATTTCTTCTGTATCCCATTAGAATTTCCTCTCATGGCACCAACATGCTGTTATCATCACCTTTTGAGAGGTACTACAGTATACACATGCCATTAAATCAGAAAGGGCAGAGGTTGGCAACAACTGGCATGTCTCAATTTTCAGCAAGCTCCTTGCTCTCCTTATGGAAAGGTAGGGAAGGGGAAAGCTTTATAATGGCTCTGAACTGTTTTTTTCTCTCCAGCACTCCCCTTGGTAAAACTCTGTATTCCCCTTGACCTGCACACCACCCCTATAACCTTCACCAAAATTTTTCTTTTGGGTGGCAGACAGAAACTTTCACCTAGATTTCATGGATAAGAACTGACAAGATCTTTCAGAGCAAGGATAGAGAACGTGGGCTCAAGGCCTCTCACATGACAGTGTTCTTCTAAAAGTCTCTGTCCTGACAGTGCATCGTACTTGTTGAGCAGCTGGAGTGCTCCCCACATCTGCTCTCACAAAACAGATTTTTAAGGTGTCATCTCCTTCTGGGAGACATATTAAGCTACCATGGGCTGGCAGGACAAAAAGATGTCTTCAGTAAGGTGAAGCAAATCTATACCAAGTCATTAATGAAATTTAATTCGCCATTCCAGCCTGTTACTGCTTCAAGAAACCCTGCATCACTGTAGACAACAGAAAATTGGAACTAGAAAAACAGAAGTTGTCGGAAAGGTGCCAAATAGCCATCAATAAATTTTAAGTGAAGCTATGCAACTTTCTAATGAAGGCAGGCAGCAGCTTGGATTCCAGACTAATGGTTCCACAAAGAATTAAAAAATAAGAGTGCTGGTTTCAGGCAGTGACAACAGAATTTATTAATATACATAAGCTCAAACTGAAGTTGCAGTAGGAAGAAGGCAAGTGAGAGAGAGGAAAGTCTCCAGGCATTATATGCAGGACCAAAGATGTTCTTTCATATAAACAACCATATCATCACTGCTTCTTTTATACAGTTTAGAAGTGTGGGAAAAGGTACCTATAGTCGTCTTCCCATCCTTAGAGCAAGCACAATTTGGCATATTTAAAAGAAGTCAACACACATTAAAAATGCCATTGTACATCTGTTCTTCACAGAACAAGCTTGAAGGTCCACATGAGGATTATTATACCTCCTAGGTACACATCAACACACGTTAACGCATCTCTGAAGATGCGTCACAAGACAATTATGGCTGCTCAACAATGAACCCATTCACACATGATGGTGATGAATTTTTAAGATTACAGTTGAAAAAACAACATATTAATAAAAAAATAGCTCAGTCAAGACTGTCAAACTGTCAAAGACCCAAAATGATAGAGAAAAAAATTAAACTGACATCATAACAAGCATTTTGGATCAGTGGTAATAACTGCATGACAATCATACATAAATGTGAAAGGTGATTGTTTTTATCACTCAGTCACCTAGGCCTCCTCAATGGAATTTACTTTAGAAATGCGTATTTAAAATTATACTTAATTGAGTGTCTAAAACAAATGTTAATTGTCAGCCCCAACACGTCTATAAAACCTGCAAGCATACACAGGAATGCTGCAAGTAGCAGCACGTATTAGAACTCACTAACCACTGGGCAGAAAGAAGGGAATATGTTACAACAAAAATAGTTTTTAATATTGTTCTAAAATTTTTAATTGTTTCTGTATTTACAGTTTGCTGAGCTGTTGCTTATATTCAGTGCTGACAGTAATATGACTGATGCAGGGTTTTAATAAACTAAAAATGAATTCACGTCACTTATTGCTCTATAAAGCGGTAGACGGCTACTAGATAGTCTAACTACACCTGAAGATGTTAAAATTTTATTGCCCTTACCTGACATATCTGCTGAGTCTCCTGTAATGGAAAAGCAGCAGAAAAATAATTAGACCAGGTATAAGATAAGTGCTAAAGAAAATATATGCCACATTTAGTGTAATTTCTTAACACACCCCTTGATGTCATCTCTCTGCAATGCAGCATCATCAATACTGCTTTTAGTGTTAAAGATGAACAATTACTGATGAAAGGCAGTCACATCAGAAATAAATGTCTTCAGAATTAATATATTTTGATTTCCATTTTGAGTTACAACACAAAAATCTAGTTTTGGTGTATGTTAGGTTTCTCTGCCAAACTAAATAGAACCCATACTTAACGTATTACTGATGTTTGAACAAATTCAGTGGAAAAAAATTCTTATCGCTGTTCTGCTAAGAAGTAATGTTTGAGTCTGATCTTGACAAGTGGCAAATGCACCCAATGTTCTTCTATAAAGGTTCAGGTACTGGGAAATAATAGTCAGACTCTGTAACAGCATTTCAGGTCAAAAGTACTTGAAAATAATGTTTCTGTAAATCTTAAAGATCTAAATCATAATGGTGAAGCTATGTTTGTGCCAGTCATACCAGAAGGAAAAGTAGCAGTGAAGTACGTTCTTTAGGGAGCATGTACTTCTTAACATCTGTTCAGAATCTAAAAATAAGCCATGTTTAAAGATATTCTGCTTCCAGCTCATTTTTCAGATTTAATTCTCTCCTTACAAATAGCATGTTTTGTATTTTAAATGTTGTGTCATCTGCTCCTGATCTGTACGCCTGAATCCACATTACAAAACAGTTACAATTGTTCTACTGCTAGTTGATGTAGAAAAGATTATGAAATTAAAAAAAAGCATTGAGTGTCCTGTGCTTCTTCTTGGATAAAACGAACACTGAAGAAAATCCACGCAAAGAACAAATTCTCACGTTATACCTCTATTCTTCCTGTACATTCTATCATGTGGAAAGGCAAACAGGGCCAGATTAAAATTCAGTGAAAAAGCAAATTCCTAAAGATAATAATAGGTCTGTAATTCCTGAAAATGTTCTTTGCAATCCAATCACAGGCAAAAATCTGCTGATAATTTTTTCCAATTAAATTATTTCCATTAATCATTTATTTAAATTGATGGGAGGCAAGAAACTCACCAAGAAATGAAGCTATTTTAGCTAAGTAGTTACTACTATCAATGAGTCAATTATACTGAGACGTGCACCTAAAAATCCAAAAGACAGGGAAGCAGGTAATAAATTCTGAGAAACCGACCATTTTACGATGAAACATCTAAAACAAATCTACAGGAAAAATAAAAAGCTATTCTGGCTATAATAAACTAAGAGATTTTTTTTGCATTCTAGGCACTAAGGAGAACAACATGGTTTTGAATCTGCTAAGAAACAATTATAGGCATGAAAATTGCAACTGGGGTGGATGACTACAAAAATTACACTATTCTGCAAAATTTAGAAACAGCAGTATTAGTTCAGCCATGCAGATAAAGAGTGGGTTTTCTTCCTTTTTCATTTTTTTTTCACTTGGTTAGTTCATAGATCTGTTTTAATGTTACTATGAAACATATATATTGTCCCCCCTAAATCTAAATTTATCTGTCAGGAAACACCATTAGGGTTTTGGTTCTGCCTAGAATACTACAACTGTGTGCTATCAAAGCACCAAGAAGGGATTACAAATCAGCCTGATGAGATTAAACGTACATAAAGTGGCATGTATTTTAAGAATTCTGGCTTTAGTCCATATAGAAATGAAGGATAGCTCAATTAACCTTCTTTGGGAGGTCTGTGACTCTTTGGAAGAGTCAAGCTGATAGTTAAACAACGAGTAATTTCATGGGGCTTAAGATTTCTAAAAAAATACTGTTTAACACTCCAAACAAATTATAATCTTAGTCATCTTTCACGCCTCAATGTTTTTGTTCAGTTTTATTAAATTACACTCAAAGAAACATATAAAGAGGACAGGTAACTGAGTAACACTCATACAAACGGAGATAGCATAACCAACTATTTTTGGGATTTATCATGAACTCACAAGGCCCTAATTGCATGCTCATATGTTAATTTCTTTTTACAAAAATACAAACGTACCTACTTGGCCAGTTGCCACTATGTTGGTAAACTTGGGGTGCTGATTTACAGTGAGGCACAAAATATCATCGTTGTGTTCCTGGTAAAAAGACTGAGAGCCTAACAAAAAAAAAAGTCCAACTTTAATTAAACATTGTACACACAAACATGGTTAATGTGTGAAACTTTTGTAATATTTATTAGAAAACAGCATTATGGTGACGTTGCAGTTTGAAGCTTAAACCAGGAACAGAAACTTTTAATTTTTATCTCAGTTTTCACAAATAGCACTCAAGAACTCCAAACTATTCCCTCAAGTTTTCTACACCAAGTTGCTTCAATATTACAGAAACGAATAGCATTGTTTTAGTCTAAAAGGTCTAAGTTATCTAAACTAAATTGGTTACTATCTATGTGACACAGAGGAGTGAAAAGTAAACCAAATAAAAAATAATTAGCTGAGACTTAAAAAAACATTAAACAATTATAATGACCCACTGTTCAGCTGTTTTCGTTTCTATGATCATTTTAAAAATCAAGTTTCAGAAAGCTAATACCAAAATAAAAATCTTTACTTCCTTCAAAATTCATTCCCTAGAAATATTTCAATATATTCAGTTTGCTTATGCAGCTATTAGGAATCATTTCTACAGACTGAATTTCAGCAAAAAATAATAATATTAATTTTCCCACATACTTGTATAAGATTTAAAGCCTATCAGTCACTTCATCAACTGTAGCTGTATGTGTGCGAAGAAACATTTTTCCTCAAGGAGGTTTCCTCCTACCTGTTGCCACATTATACAAGATCCCAATAGATGCAGTATGATATATTACATCAGCACCATCATTCAAATAGTGCACATTGTTTCTGCAGTCCTTGCCTCGGTACCCAAATACCAGCTCCAAAATTAGGTCCTAAAAAAAGGTATTTACATCTATTAGACACTCAAAACCTCAAAGCAATTATGAACTGTACAATCTTTTCCAGGATTTTATTTTTTCAAGTATGTCCTTACGCAGTAAAGGAAAAGGAGTTTAACGATGTCTCAAACCAAGAGAAACAGAGAACCCGCCATCGCTGCCAGCTTGCACTGCTGCTCATTCTTGCTGTATGGTCATGTCATCCTACCATCTCTGTTTGCTGGATGCTGTAGAATATTTGTTTGTGTATATACACACACCCCCATACACATGCATATAAATAAATAAATTACAGTGAGCCAAGAACAAGACAGCTCTTTTGATATAGAAGAAACTAAGAAACAAAGAATGACAAACTCAGTCCGGAAATTTAATTCCAGCTGGCAATTAAGAAAGTTAAATAACAGCCTAAAACTTCTAGAACACTGATGGCCAAAAGGTCATTTAATACGCTACACCAAACATTTTGTTTCATATCACAGAAAATATTTCAGCTGATATGAACTGCATTTTTCAAGGCTAGATGAAATTTCCATTTCAGATTAATCAAAAGTGACTATACTTATTCGCTTTGGCCATGTAACCAAAAAAAAAAAGTGCCCAAGCTAAAGGTTTTTTTATTTTTAAGCTGTTAACAGTGATGAATTTTAAAAAGTTTTAAAATCAATTTTAAAAAAGCCTTGCAGGAAACGATGTGTGGTTTTATCAGTGGTAATACACCCATTAACAATCCAGTTACCTGAAGAGGACATACTGCTTTCTACAACCTGCATTTAAAAGGTTTTATTGTTACTAAGAATTAAGTTGTGCTCCATTTTGTTTGCATGAAAAAGTAGTATCAGGCTTTTTTGGATTTACAAACAAAGACGTTTCTCCCACTTCTTTTGCTGTTTACTCACTATTAAATATTTTCATCTTTGATGCATTTAAAATGAAACAATCATTTGGAATGTCCACAAATGGGTCAATTTCTGGCAAAAAAAATTCTAAGCGGATCAGGAATAGGAAGCAGAGATTACAGTTTTCTTACCTCTATAGGTCTCTTTTTTTTCCCCACATTATTTGTCTGAAGTTTCTCAGGCTGTGGCAATGCCCTACTAACTGGTGGTCTGAAACAAAGAACTGTGAATAAGAGAAGGCTGTCCGTCACCCATTCCATACTAACACAGTACCCTCCAACCTGCTACTGCATATGGAAAACTTAGAGCCCTATCCTGCTTGACTGGTATTTGTATTCATCTTTAAAAGAAATACCTCTGTCAAAGGAAAAAAAACCCAACACACCTTTAACATGCTAGGTTTTCTGCCAATTCTTCAACAGTCCACAAAGTACTTCCATCTTCTCTGTAGCAACTTGTATTAGGTAAACTTTGAAGGCTTACCTGATTAATCTAAATACCTGAGATCGTAATTCCTATTCCCACATGCCTTCAGTATGCCCTAACTTTTCTTATTTTTGTTACAGTTTGTAAAGAACCCCAAGTACAGCTGCCCATTCACTCTTACATGAACAGAAACATGTTATTGATCAACACTTAAAGTAAACCATCACCATGCAAATGCATGAATATTCACCATAACTTACATTCCACTGTTCTGAATAGTCTAGATTTAATTCAGAAATCTCAACTAAACAAGTTTGGTAAGTATCTGTAACATTTTTCACATTATGTTCAACTGTTCATATACAAAGAAACACAAACAAATTTTATTCATCAAAATTATGCAATTATTTCTAGTGATTTGCAGGAGCATAGGTTATTGATTATATATATATATAGCATACGTGGCCACAAAAAGAAACCTGTAAGTCTGACCCTTAAGAGCAACAATTCATTTAAACTTAAAAAGAAACTCTACGTATAGATTCAATGAAATCCAGATGATTTAATCCAGTAGGCAGTGTGACAAACTAATATCACACAGAGAGCATCAGGTCAGCTCTCTGCCATATTCCCTTTTTAGTACGAGGTACTTTTACTTCCATCTCTGCTCTGGAATGATGACTTTGACGCAAAATAATCACCTTGTCTTTTCTAAGAACAACAGACAATTGTTTGTACACTGTATACTTTGAATTATATTCAAAAAATGTTTTTTCAGTTATTCAAATAAAACCCCATTTTCTGTGCATCTTTACAATAGAAAATCCAAATCCAGATCCAAAGAGAAATACTGCGACTTTACATTGGACAGTTAACACCACGAGTCTTTTCATAGGGAGGGAATGTGGGCTGTATCAATCAAATTCTTATCAGAGCAAAGTTTGAAATACTGATTTCAAGTTAAAAAGACTAAAGGCATGAAGGAAAATAACCAAGGGTCATATTTCCTACTCATTCATAAATAAGTGCAAATTAAAACAAGGAACACTAACTGAAGTATGGAGAGAGACTTTCATAATTTCACAAGGAATGGTAGTCTAACACTTGTTTTGCTACTCCAAAATTCTTGCCTTGAAAAACAGACTTCTAATACACTGGTAGTAAAGGTAAAATATTATTTTAAAAATATATATATAAAAAAGATTCTTTATATATGTGTGTATATATATCATATTGCTTATCATATATAGCAATGCAGGTCAGAAAAGGAGTCCAGTGTGAACAAGCACTAAAGGTCTCCTCACTCAAGAACAAATATTAAAAGGCAGCAGCATTTAAATACTTTCTCAGTCCTGCTTGAACTAAGTCTGGTAGGAATGTACTCCTAGACTTCATTCTCAAAGGTCCTCAGTTACAGATCCTTTTTCTCCTCTCCAAGGTCTCCAGTTAGAAGGAATTCACATACAGCTCGAGACAGAGAAGCAAGGCATTTGAATGTCTTTTTCAGTTATAGCCTGGACGTGGCTCACAGCCATAGCAACCTGTACCTTAACCTGTGAAGGTGAAAAAGTATTCTCCTAACTTTTGAAAAATAGAAGGAAAAGCAAACAAAGCATGGTCCAGGCTGCCCTCATTACCTACCCAAGCATTGGTTGGCCGGTACAGGAAGCATGGAATACATCTGATTTCTCTCAGCGATCCCAACACCCAATTTCATGACCACTCTTGAATCACTACTGTCTCACCCAGCTCTTTCCAGGTCTTACACTTGATGTGAAATTCCTGAACTCCTCAGCTATTTTCCAGGTTTTTTCTTCTCCTCTGTGCTATCACTGCTGACTCCTAGCATCCTCCCATCTAGCCTGTCATATTACAACAATAGTATCGCTAAGTATGATTAAAATTCTCACTTTTTAATTTAAGAAAAATAAAGAAACTACACTTTAGATGTTTCTAAATTATCAACTGAAAACACTCCCAATAGGTCACAATGTTTATCATATTAAGTATATATGGAGAGAGGCCATATATAAGTTTTACAGAGGAAAAGAATCTTTCATTATATTTGTTCCCTGCCTTCACAGTAGATGCTGAATTTCAGGTACAAATACACTGTTCAAGAGGTAACACCATGCCACAGACACCTCCTTATCAGTGTGTGCTTCTCAGATGGAATCAAATCCAATCAAGTAAAACTACTGAAATGCATGAACAAAAATTGAAAGGCACAGATTTGGTATGGGGAATGGGCTTTCTGAAAGCACCTCAGTGACACAAAGAATAAAAACCTGCCCTTATTCATTCAAGAAAATGAAGAGACAAAGAACTTTTTTGTTCTAATACCTTTTTAAAACGGTCACACTGACCTCCTAAAATATTAATAAATAAAGCTTTTTTTGGGTTTTGGCATTGGGGTTGGATGGTGGGGTTTTTTTGCATACTAATACAAGTACTGTTTAAAACAAAGAATTCTAGTGCTTACGATCTGTGGAGTTAAATGGCAAAATAATAACCAGTTCTCTGCCTGTGCAATCAAGCCTTTGAAGAATGAACAGGGTTAACAAGTTAACAAGAGCTTCACATACGCATGATTATACATATCCTGTTATTTTACGTCTAAGAATTATAGTTATTGAAATATATCTAACACCTGATTTGTGTAACAGGTTAATGATATTACAAGTTGATAATCATTTTTTCCCTACCTATAGTTTATTGCTTGGAATTATAATTAAAGTTCCTTAATCCCTTTGATACCTCCATTTTATTAGGTAACTAGAAGCACACTTATAAATGCAAGGAGTTCCTTTACAAAACACTTACACAAAAGTGGCTCCTTAAAAACCACTTACATACTGTTGACTTCAAACCCTTTTTTAAATTAAGCAAATACCTTTCTCTTTTTAAACATGGAAATCAGGAACAAAGCTGAAGTGCTGCAAATTGAAAGATTGTATATCAGTGATTCTGTTGGTCCTAACCATTACTTTCCCCAAGAATCAGAGAGGGGGAACAGTAAGAGGAAGCTATAATAAACATATCAACGTTTACTGGTTTTCCACTGTCATGTTACCTCTTCTCTCATCCCATGCAGCAGCTACAGAATCAAACAGCAAGTGCAGTAGCGAGTACTGCATAAGTGCGAGACTGGCACACTGCTTCTACTGGCACACTGTAGAACCCAAAAAGGCTTACAGAGAGAAAGAAATCCACCTGTCAATTACATAGTAACAACTAAAATGAAAATCCCAAAGCCACCTTACTCAGCTGTGAAGCATCAACAGCCAAGATATGATTGCCAGCCTACACCCACACCAGCAGAAAAAAACCCACACTTTCTTGAAGAAAGGGAAGTAGAAAGATACACTCCTCTTACATTCCAGAGAGCCTTCCTAGCTGAGAGAGAAGCGTAACTTCTGATGCTTTTCAGACAGCCAGGCAATCTCTAAATGTAGCTTCTACTACGTTACACTGCAGCCAGCACATGGAACAAGAATGTCAGATTCCAGATCCAGTAATCCTGCATAAATTTCTCTACTCCTTTGAAGGGCAGACTAGGCAGCATGTCAGTAACTCATGCCACGCTAAATTAACATCAGCAACAAAATCTATGAAGAGTCACACAAGTGCAAATGAAGATTTCAGACTAAAGACAGCACACTACTATGCATTACCATCAAAAAAAACCCACAGAATATGAAGCAGGAAGTCCAACCTGCAGGGAACAGAGTCCAGTTTTCTTAGGGCAATTCCTAGCAATGTATCCAAAAAAATATTTTTATGCCCATCTTGATTTAGAGTTCCTAAGAAGAAAGGCATTCCCAAAACCACTATTATTTAGGAGTAAAAATGTACATTTATCAGTTGTCACAGGTTAGTGCTGATTGACATTTTTAGCCCCTCACTTCTTATTTTATTTATGTACCTGATAGATAGAGGGAAAAGTGAGTGAGAAGAAAACAAAGCACAAAAATTAAATAGAGCAGGACAGCACATCTAAAGTTACATGAAAGCAGTAAAAATTGCAAGGGCATGGTTCTGGCACAGGTTTATGTTACTGCAGCAGAACTGACTGGAACTGATGACTTCTCTGCTGCTTGGATCTGGAATGTGGCATTCTTATAACATTTGTTGTCTGCTAATCCCTGATGACAGCATGGGAGAAGAGGTAAAACAATCTCGCATTATACAACTGCTAGAAAAGACCATCTATCCTTACAGGCTGTATGGACACACAGGTAACAAATACAGGTCGATAGCCATCCTTAGCTAACCGTTAGCGCACATTTACATCTGTACATTACCATACAGAAGAAGTAGTGAATGTACATTGGTCAATAAAACCTGACTTGACAACTTGTACTCAGCTACGTTATCTCACGTCAGCTCAACAAGTTATACGAGTACCCATCTATGACAGACCAACTCCATATTGATTCAGAGCAGTGGAACTGGAATGCAAATTACAAGCACATACGTATGTTTCCCCAATTAAGTTTCAAG